TTATTTTAATGCAAAGAATACGTCACAATTAGTCACATTTACATGGGATACTACCCATGTAACTGAAGTACGATCAATATTTTTTTGATAATCGAAAAGTTACACAATTCATAAATTATTTAGAGTATAGATGTGTCTATAACATAATTTATATAAATGAACAAATTAATAATAAAAGAAAACTCTTTAGTTAAAATATCGTTCATTTTACAATATCTTAGTCAGTTAAAGTATTTTTTAAACCCGAAACAAGAGCAATACATAATCGAAACAATATATCTAGAGAACCAGACGTACATCCATACTTGATAATGAATTTGAAGTTGTCGAAATGTCGTAAAATGAATAAAATTTGAGTCCAACTGAACTATTTTCAATTTTCTGATTTTTTTTGTCCATGTTTAGGACTGTACGATATTCATCAATATTGAAAGCATTTAATTATGAATTGCATAGTGTTGATTAATGTTGTTATATAATAGGTAATTGATTTTTTTTTAATGGACTAAATAAAGTATATGATCATTGATTTATGGAGCTATCCATTGAACTATGTCAGCGAATACCATCGATAATTTTTGACTGATTCTATGTTATAATCCTCAGCACTTTTACTATTGATCGATGATGAAAATCAATTTTTTTAATCTTATGTCAAAAATTAATCGCAGAACTGACAGCAAAAGAAATACAAGTTGTTTCAAAGAACAACCACAGTGAGTATCATCTACAAGGATCTGAGTATTCAAAACGTTGTACAGACGAATAAACCAACAACGCAAATAGTATTCATGGACGAAAATCATACATTCATACGTAGTCTACTATCCCAAAGCAATTGCTGAAATCTCGAGCCATAGTTCTCCACTTAGAAACATTTTTGAAAGTAAATTTTTTTTTGATTAAAAATAGTAATGTCTAAACCTCAAATTTTGTATCAGTTATATTTTTCCAGAACGAATCTGAGCAGAGGTAGAGGCCAAAAACCAAACATCTTCAGAAAATGCTTGCAACATGGCTATTAAACAGTACCAGACTTTTATACTTATTAATCCTTTTACTGTCGCGAGAGAATGAAAAAATACATTCAATAATAATTTTATGTAACATGTGTGTGGGTGTGATGTGGGTATGGGTGTAAATGTTGGTTAGAGCCTTACAGAATCACATTTTTTGAAATCTCTATTCCGATTTCGCCATCGAAAACTTCTTTAAGAAGACTACGATTTCACGGTATAAGTGTGGATGTGAGGAAGGTTTTGTGGAAGGCTCATATCCACATCTCACGTACAGATACAGCTACATCCACACTCTCCAGATGACCCAGATAGAAAATCATATCAAACTTAAATTTTATTTTTAACATGGATTTTTTGTAAATATGAAAATTCTATATTGAAATACAGCAACATAATGTAATATCTAATATCATAATCAAAAGCTTTTGACATGATTTATGTTTATATTTTTATTAAAAAAACCAAAACCAAAAACATAACAATATAATATAATATAACAGTTAAATCATATAATAAATTTTTTATTGTTAAAAAACTTTCGATCCTTGAGCGATCATCATCAGAATATGATATTAATAATTTTGTTATAATCTTAAACGTTTGAGTTATAAATTCACGATTTTGTTTTCTAATATGATGTTATTTGTTCCGTTCACATTATTGTATAGACTATATGAGCAATGAGTAATTCTCAACATAATTGTTGATTTATAATATATGTGTAAGTGTGAATATACAACCACCAATAAGATAAAATATTTTGTATTAGTTTTGTTGCTTTTTGTTTGATTACTACGACTAATATCACGACCCTTAATACTTTCATATGGATTAGATGTTACATAATACATTGTTTCTCTAAATAGAGAAGAAGATTACAATCATGTTATTGTTGCTAATGTTTAATACAAACGTAAATTTTATTTTTAACATGGATCTTTTGCAAATATGAAAATTCTATATTGAATTCAGCAACTAAATTTAATATTATTGGTGCTTGTATATTCACACTTACACGTATATTATAAATCAACAATTATGTTAAGAATTACTCATTGCTCATACACTGAAAAAAAAAGAATTTTGCAATACGAAACTCTTTTTATGCTGAAAAGTGTTTCGACCTTTGAAACAAATTCGAAACCCTTTTTTAGTTTCGTATAATACTACGAAATCCTCAACACTGTTTTCTGGATGCTTGACAAGGCTTTGTAAGGATTTCGCTGTATGGTACGAAACCTTTATACAAATTTCCTGGGTTTTTGCTAAATCTTTGGAAAGGTTTTATCAAATACTACGAAACCCTCTGCTTATCAAGGGTTTCGTACCATACAGCGAAACCTTTACAAAGACTTATCAAGTATCCAGAAAATAGTTTTATGATTTCGTAATATTAAACGAAACCAAAATAAAAGATTTCGAATTCGTTTCAAATCTCGAAATCCTTTTTAGCTTAAAAAAGATTTCGTATCGAAAGATTTTTTTTTCAGCCTACAGTCTATACAATAATGTGAACGGAACAAATAACATCGTATTAGAAAACAAAAACGTGAATTTATAACTCAAACGTTTAAAATTATAACAAAATTATTAATATCATATTCTGATGATAATCGCCCAAGGATCGAAAATTTTTTAACAATAAAAAATTTATTATATGATTTAACTGTTATATTATATTATATTGTTATGTTTTTAACAAAATAAATATTAATGCAGTAAAATAGAGACTGTACCAACAAATATATTTTTTCATTTATTCAAAATGAAGAAAAACACATCTATTATGGAAATTCATGAATTTTGGACTTTATTTTAAAGTCATCATCAGATGAAACTACTAAATCGAATAACAACACAACTAAGGCCATAGTCGAATACTAGTTCAATACCACTTAAACATCAATAACATCTCAAACTTGACCTGTTATAAGATATTTTATATAATAATGCTCATAATAACTGCAACTTATATTAATAAATCAAAGAAATAAATAGACTGAGCCATATAATTTAATTCAACAAAATAAATATTGATGCAGTAAAATAGAGAGTGTTTAAATGGTATTGTACTAGTATTCGAAAATGGCCTTAGTTATGTTGTTATTCGATTTAGTGGTTTCATCTGATGATGACTTTAAAACAAAGTCCAAAATTCATGAATTTCCATAATAGATGTGTTTTTCTTCATTTTAAATAAATGAAAAAATACATTTGTTGGTACACTCTATTTTACTGCATTAATATTTATTTTGTTAAATTAAATTATATTGCTCAATTTATTTATTTATTTATTTATTTATTTGATTTATTGTTATGTTTTGTTTTTTCTTATAAAAATATAAACATAAATCATGTCAAAATTTTTTGATTATGATATAAGATATTACATTATATTGCTGTATTTCAATATAGAATTTTCATACAACCATGTCGCTCAATGTTTTTACGATAAATGTAATTTTTCCTGGTTTCGTTGAAGCTTTTATTCTATCGAAGTACCAAAAAATGGAAACTATAGAATTGATTCGATTCAGTGTAGATACTCTGGCGATTGTACCGATTTGACATTTAATCTTTGTCGTGCGTTATTTCGTCAGTCAATGATCCAACTGCTTTTCTTTCTTGTGACGGATATTATGCATAGATTCCTCTCTGTTACCTAAGTTACTTGTCCACAAACCATGGTATAATTTCAGATTTTTCGAAGTTTAAATGTCATTTACCTCAAACAACATGTTTTTTTTACATGCACATCGTTTTCGTGAAGCTTTTATTAATTCGTTTCTGATAGAGAATCGAGATGATCATTCGAAGGGATTTAGAATCATTGTTTGATGCAGAGCTGGGCAAAATACTCGAAGTACTCATACTCGAGTACGATTTTGTTGGTACTCGTACTCGTACTCGAGGGGTTGGTACTCGTACTGGTACTCGTACTCGAGAGTGTTGGTACTCGTACACGTACTCGTGGATGTATTTTCACACGTACTAGAGTTTGAAGTGCTCTAAATGTTGAGGATTGACACGGCTGTTTCTTCGTCCCAAAATATTTCAGCATTTAATGTTGAGATTAATTCAGTGGCGACCTTTAATACCGCTGCAATAGTTTATTCTGCATATCTCTCAATCCCTTTTTTAAGTCGCAGGCGTATCGCTCGGAAGAATGGTATAGCTTTCGATCATCTCTTTGGAGGGTACGATTTCGTCTCGAAAATAGACCCCTGAAAAATTGCTTTTCTTTGATCTCGCTACCAGTTAAATTTGTTTTGATGGTTCCGGTTTCGGTCTTGGTTAGATTTTTTCTTGTCCAGGTCTTGATCCTAGATCCGGTCAAAATTTTTTATTGGTTCCGGTCCTAGGTCTGGTTAAAGTTTTCTATTGCTTCTGATCCCGATAATTTTTTTAAGAACAAAAGATTTCTAGCAAAATTAAGCCTAAACTTTTACATTTTTGCTCGTATTCCCAAATAGTGATAAAGTTCCATTTCGAAATATAGAGAAGTATCCCAACAACACTTAAGAGTTTATACTAGAAACAGTGAAAGAAGGACAAAAAATGTACAGGGTGGTAAATAATATTATTCCAGGGGGGTAACAGTATGATCTCGAATCGGAGATATCATGAATTTTATACCAAATGAAAGCCCGTGAAAAATGGGGTTTAGTGATAGTAAATAGTAAGACTTTGAAGAACTTTCGTGTACCAAATTTTTAAAAACAACGAAATTTTCTTTCAAAAACACGTTAAAAATCATTTTTCATACATTTTGAGACATTGAAAACGAATATTTTTTATGAAAACGAAAGAGAAATGATAACGATGATGATATATGACTATGACTCACACAATAAGATGGTTCTTTGGCGTTCTGTTCTTCTCTCCACGTGATACTAGTTATTTGAAAAATTTTTTCGTTCTCGGACTGTCTGAAAGTTATAGTCGAGTGAAATCTCAGTGTTTTTTCGTTTGTTATTTCAAATGGCTGGCGCTTATGATACCGAACAACAAAGAATGATTGATAGAATTAAATGCATTACTTTCCGAGAAGCTCGTGATGCTGGTGCAACATTTATAAATAGACAATGGATTGCCGACAAAATTCACCGTACGACTCGATTTGTTACAGAATGGTGGGAAAAATCGTGTGACCAATGTTTTGCTGATTATTCGAATGCTGGTCCTAAACTCAAGTTATCGAGAGCTGCTCAGGACATTATTCGTGAAGCAAGTGGTCACCAACGGAAAAGCGGTTCTGTCGTGGCGAAAGAGATTGCAAAGAAACAAAAAGAATATGTTACTCGACAAACAGTTAATAACTACCGTCGTAGGGAAGGATTAAAGCCTTTTCATGTTATTTCAAGACCGTTAAAATCTGAAACTCATATATCAGATCGATTATGGCTCTGTGATTGGTTGAAAGATTGGACTGAAGAAGATTTTCTTCATCTGGCACCATCAGATGAATTTTATGTTTGGACAGTTCGCAAACCAAATTATCAAAATGATAGGATTTGGGCAAAAAGTGTTGAAGATATTGAAGACGATGAAAGGTATCGCGAAATGGTTAAAAACCAAGCGTGTATCGGTATTTTTATCATTTTCACCGCGAAAAAAATGCATTGGGTGATTAAAGACAAAGGTGAATCTTGGACCGGTCAATATTTTCGTGACATTATTTTAATGCAACACGTATTTCCATTCCTCACCGACGAGGAAAACGTAATTGATCTGGATAATGTGATATTTGTTCACGATAAAGCACCGTGTATGCGAGCAAACATGACTCAACATCTGATTAGAGATAACAAAATCGAGTTTTGGGGCAATGATATTTGGCCTGGTAATTCGCCCGATCTCAATGCGGCGGAACATATTGGATCAATAATGAAAGATGAAGTTGAACAAAAAATGTTATCGGAAACTGGACATAATCGATATAGTGAAGACACACTTAAAAAGCACATTGCGGATGTTTTGACGGACATGGAAGAAAATACCGAATTGTTTGAAGCTCTTTTATGTTCGTATCCATCTCGACTTCGTGCAGTAAAGAGTGCTAATGGTCGTCATACTGATTATTGATTGTACTCAATAAATAATAAGAAAATAAACAGTTGTACAACATATAGTTTAGCCCCGAACTTTTTCGATGAACTGATTTTATAATATTTTATGTCGATAAAAATCGTAACGTTTGATAAATTAATACAAGAAAGTTCTTCAAAGTCTTACTATTTACTATCACTAAACCCCATTTTTCACGAGCTTTCATTTGGTATAAAATTCATGATATCTCCGATTCGAGATCATAGTGTTACCCCCCTGGAATAATATTATTTACCACCCTGTACAATCAGAAGAATGGTTGAATTTCTATCAACCCAAATATGTATATATTGTACGAGTACGCCTATTTAAAAACCTATACATATCATCGAAAAATCTCAGGTGTTGAAATCAGAATCGAGATCAATGAGAGACTCGTATCGGAATGATAAATAAAAATGGCAAATCTGCGCATTCTTAGTCGCCATCAAACAAGAAGCATGAAAATCTATAGTCTAGTTCTTCATAAAAAATATACCGGAAGCAACTTAAAAAGCTTTAGGTCCCGTCTGGACCGGTACCGGAATCACTTTGCAATTCCCTACTCGAAAAACTGATTACGAGATGTTCTGAAATAAATATCTGCGATATTATCGATTGTCACTGCTTTATTGCTTTCAATACAAAAAATTAAACATTGAGAAGACAAAAAAACGCTCTCATCCGCTTTCGTATATTGAGATAAATAGTATTATATCAGATAAGTACCAGGTGCCTATTTCTGTGCTTCTTCACCGCTTCTTGTCTCGAGTCAAGCGCACAATACTATACTAACTACCTTGTGACATACACCGATCATTGCGGTTAACATCTAGCTAGGCTGTCTGTGCGAAAAATTCAAGTGAATGATTAAAAGAAATCCAAGTCTAGTCGGCCTTTTGCCGAGAGCTGCAGTTATTACTAAGTGGTTATAGGAAATATATCGGGCTTACAGAACTGTCATCTGCGGACACCCTATAACCTAAGATAGCCGAAGAGCAGGGTATTCTTATTCTTCTGAATTTTGAAGATGAACAGAATAGCTGATTTCTTACGCGCTTGATTTAATGTAAAATTACACGCAATTCTTTTCAACGATTATGTTGCTAAACAGTTGCATACTTTTTCAATGTATCAAAATTTCTTGTTCTCAAGCACGATTTTCTCAGTACTCCTACGCGTACTCGAGGGTCGGTACTCGTACTCGTACTCGTACTCGAGGGGTTGGTACTCGTACTCGTACTCGTACTCGTACTCGTACTCGAAAAAGTCCGTACTTGCCCAGCTCTGGTTTGATGTATTTTCATGCATTAGTAAAATCAAATTAAAAAAAAAACGATTCATTTATTGAGGGCAATTTGTTCTTCGGCACGTCTTAGTTTGAAGATTGTATTTGTAGTTAACTTTGCATAGATATTCGGCTTTGCAATTACCTCCATCTCGTCCAAACTTATTTGCTCTTTGGTCTGCTTGGCTATCCGTTGAACTTGGATCTTGAAGTTCCTCACGGCAATCACTAACTGACAGAATGAAATGTAATGAGTTGAAATATATCTTTCTTGAGTGTATTATAATGACGCACTTTTTTTCGCAATACGGATATCATTAGCCGTTTTTTCACAGAGATGAACAGCATCATAATTTCCTTGGCAATGAAAAAAATTGTCACAATTCATGCAATTAGCCTTCTTCATTTCATTGTATTGGGCTCATAACTTATGACCAGGACACGTCATAATATCCCTGCCAGCACATCGCCAAAATTTAAATCAATTCATTGACATTGTTCTTGAAACTATTAAAATGAAGCAGAATATCATCAGAAAATAGGCGAGATGCACCTCTTTGCGATTCTGTAGTTGATGCATGTGACAAGTAAATGTAGTGTACAACATATATGACTGAAATGACGTAGATGTTTCACTTGCAGTCGATTTTGTGAAGCAAATGAAATGAATTTGTTTACACAATTGTATCAAATTTCAAATACAATCGTATTAAAATGCCAATGAAGGAAAGAAGGCGAGTAATTGAAACGCATAGAAAATAAATTGAAAGAACGAGAATATATTGTATTACAAACATTTGATGAATCTTAAAACAGTGTTATTGTGTTGCAATAGTTCGAAAGAAAACAGAAAAACCAGAATGCAAAAACAACTTGAATATCTAACTCAATGACGCAGCTAGAAATTTTAAATGATGCATTGTTTCTTAGCGAAATTATAGTAAGGAGTGGTAAGCATTGGTCAATTAAAAATCCATTGGGCTACAGGGTTTTTAACCTATTGACATCCCCCAAAACTGATGTTTATTGAAGAGAAATTCGTTAATTTCAACTAGTAAAGTGTAATGACAAGTGTTTTAACAAAAAAAGATACTGTTGAATCATCATTATGGACACTAGTTTAATGCAGAAAGTGGTCAGTTGGTCTCTTTGAACCACTGGGTTAGGTCATAAAAAGATACAATGTATTAGCATGACACCACTTAGGACCTTGTACAAGCTAAATAAATAGTTTTTATACGAATTTAGCGTATTGATGTGTGATGTGTGAGTGTGATGTTGGCGATTAAGATGAGTAACCTCGTTCACATTCACACACATCCTCATACCCACACCCACATCCACACACACCTATGACCACAGTCACACCGACACCCACACCCTGACAAGAGGTTATGTCTAGTTTAGCCCTATCACAAATTCTGTCTTCGACAACGGCGGGTATTGGCCATTAGTCAAAACTGCAATGATACGTAGCAAAAATATTAAAGCAATACCAGTGCCGGTTTTACTGTTGGACAAGTAGAACAAATATACCAAGGAGATACTGTTGTTTAATTTTATTTATGTTTCTCATCATTGTACTTAGTGATTCGTTCAACAATCAAGAAAAACAATCTCCATTTTGTTCTATATTAAATATACTTCTTGTTAGTTTGATAGTGTTGTTTCGACTTTGAATATTGATATATCAACATCTAAAAGCGTTTGAAAAAGCAATATTTGAAGGTATGGATGTGATTTCATGAAGGATCAAAAAGCGTATTCACACCCACATCCTATTTTGTTCACGAGTGGTATTGGATTAGACTAGCGAAACTTAGAGTGATTCCTGATAATTCGTTGCCTTTTCAGAGCTATGACCAGGTTAGATAACTTTCAATCTCTTAAAAAGTACTCAAGATTAATTATAATGGCAGCATTTTGATCTGAAAATATATCCATCCATAAACAAGTCTTTTAGTCATGAAAATGTCCTAAAAGTTTCTGTCCAAAACATGTGTTCTTTTTAACATAATGAGTATTCAAAGAAGAGATCATCCATTACAAGAAATAATCAAATAGCTGACTGTTTTCGAAGGTCGATGTCTCAGAAAGGATACAGCTTTTTTGCCTAAAACTTTTCGGTTGGTCTAACCAGTACAAGATCTATCTATAAGCAAAACTTCAGATTAAAATACAGTTATTATATTTTATCATGAATATCTTATCAGACTACCAAGGACAAATTAACGCAAATCGTATTTTTGATGGATATTTTCATGAATAGTCAATAAGAAACAACATAAGGTTTTCTGAAAACTTTTTCGTTCATAGAATATTGTACAGCTCGTTACACTGATCATTTTGGTAAAAAAAAATATTCAAATTTGTTCAATAAATAACGCTACTACAGTCAAAATACCGAACACGTTCGACTATTCCTGGCTGCTGCTGAGCGATAGTTGATGCTTATGAATATTTTGATCGTAGTAGCGTCATTTATTGAGTAAATTTGAATATTTTTTTGCCAAAATGATCAGCGTAACGAACTATACAAAATTCTATGAACGAAAAAGTTTTCAGAGAACCTTGTGTTGTTTCTTGTTGACTATGCATGAAAATATCCATCAAAAATACGATTTGCGTTAATTTTCTTCTTGGTAGAGAGATCGAAAATTCACAAAAGCGGTAATGATTCCGAAAGATGTCAACGATTAATATTGTGGAAGATCTTTTCCCATTAGGTAAAATTTATGTTGCTCACTTTGAATCGTTTCAATGAGCTATCAATGAGGTTCACTCAATGCAAACTTGAATTAACAATCATGCTTTCGATAACTCAAGTTGTCACAAAGATGGCCTCTTAGAATATATAATGAACGAAGGACGCACTTGTATCTATAATCGCTGCTATTATGACACCGATAAAATCATGACACTTTATGTACATGACCATGTCGATGCACGTATAAGATATTCAGTGTATATTGCTCATGTTAGTCGAAATGATGTGTGAATATTCAAACAGACATTCAGCACAATAGAATTTATCCAGATGTATATAGATCAATGACGCTTATTCAAAATCAATATTTTCATGTTTTGCATTATTGTCAATTGATGAAAAAAGCCACTATCGAGAAGATAAGATGTCACACAACATGTATACGAAGAATAGTTATGTACTTAAACGATGCAATAGTCAATGAAGTCTCACGCGTATCAATACAATTTAAGGAGCATGGTTAAGTACTAAGAGTATGTTAAATCCAGCAGTAGAACGAGTTTCATGAGTGTGATTCAGCAGTATCCCTTTCTTTTTATAACAACATAACCGATGAACTGAAATGATCTACATGTGTAGTTTCTTGCTGTTTGATCCTCTGTTAACATAATATTTTGATCATACTGTTCTTTTGTCTATGAATTGCGGACATCTTATTGTTGATTCTTTCGAGAAACCAACATATCATTGGCGTGATTTATGATGTTATATAGGATAAAGTTCAATGCAAAAGAAAACGATATCAATAATAATGATAATTCGAACCGTCAACCTTCCTTCAAAGTAAACTTATATAAAAGTATCATGTCAAAACATCTATGATAGATGAATAGTCAAACATTTTCTAATAACCTTGTTTGACTAACATAAATTGCGACGTATTAATTCTTCCACAGGTATGTCTCACGAAAATAGCCCTATCTAGTACATAAAAAATGATATTTTCGCTTCTTGCTTAATATGATTCTCATAATTTTGTGAGTTTCACAGAAGGAGGAAAATTCTGTTTTGTGAAATGAAACACTAAGTAAAAATAATTCAAGCGAGTTGATTACTTATATAAAAAAAATTAAGTTGATTTGTAGGTAAACGTAAAAATAGTGTTTGTAATTATGTGAGTGTAGCATTGACACATTGTCGGTAATGTTCACAACATTTTTGATAGCTTTTGCATTGAGTATCTGTTGTACATGTTGGAAAGCATAGAGAAAGATTGATAGGAGGATGTTGAATAATAACAGGTGAGAATATTACTGTCGGACAATGATCTGAATGGTCATTTGGACAATAATAAGTTCTACTGTAATAATTCACTCCATCGTATCATCATTGGCTGCACATTCACTTTGGTCTATAGTCGACAAGAAATATTTTTGAGTGATTGACCATATTTGCATGGATTGTATCTAGCTGGTAATGGAAATATTAAACAAAAAATATTTGGATCAATAATAATTGAAGGAATCGTTTGAATTTCTAGTTGTAGAATATGTGGTTTTTCAATTTCAAATAGAGCATTTCGATCTGCACACAAAGAGATAATAGCAATGATTGCTAAAGCTTGACTCTACCGAAAAAATAACGAAAGCAAATTAGACGACATTATATCTCTTTTGTGAATAATATGGATCTTTTTGTGCCAGCCTCTTAGATAAACTTTGAAATAAAATCTTAATCTAGTTATAAAATTAGATTAGTCATTATACAAGACATGACTATACTTACACATATACTTTTTATTGACTTTTCTTTAATTGATATCAATTATGACTGGATAGATTTTGAAGATTCCTCAGTTTTCTAGCATAACTATTTGTTAACAGTAGGTAAGTTAGATCACGACGAATATATGTTAATCTAAAAATAATACCAAAAGAGTGATTTCATTCTCTTATGGTTGAAACCAACTTCGATCAATGAAGACTCTCGAGTATCTTTCTGAATAACTCTAGAATGAATAACGCTAGTGATTTGCAGTTCCTACTGGTCAGTAATAGAGATTTAACGTTCATCTTGACGATCATTTATAGTTTCTCAGTAATATCTATCCATGTATTTTACTTTATTTTGTTTATATATAATAAAATCTTGTTAATGCATGATGTTTCACATGAAATATGAATACGACTGATCAATAGCAATCAAAAACAAATTAATGTTATTGACTATTTGATCATGTTCATTCTTAAATACTCTATGATATTTCAAATAAAAATTTACATATTCTACAAGTCACCCATAATGCTTATCACAAACCATCCGCACAAACACATTGATATTGAGCATTGGTATTAATAATAGCGTACTTCTTTTGTAGAAGAAGATAGTTTTATTTTTATCAGTATTCAAATATTGATCCTTATTTCAGTCGAAAGATTAGTTGCAGTATGACAAAATCAGTTATCATATCCGATCAGCAGCAAACTAAACACAATTCAGATTTTGTCAATCAATTAAATTTTATTTAGGCTACGACGCAGTTTATTTATTTGGATATCACTGATAATATGGTGTTTTTTCTAACATGAATGTCAAAGTTGTATGAGTTTTACATAAATTTGATTCTTGATTGGTTTCATATTTGTCATTCCCACTATCGTGTTACTTATTGATCGAGGATG